TTTGAGATGTGCTGTATTTTGCTGTATATTTCACATTTTATTATAAAATTTACAGAATAATGTAAAATATGGCTAAATGGAAGTAAACAACCACTATTTTACATTATTATTACCACTATAAACACAACTGGGTATTCATTCATTCATTCATTCATTTTCTTGTTGGCTTAGTCCCTTTATTAATCCCGGGTCGCCACAGCGGAATGAACCGCCAACTTATCCAGCAAGTTTTTACGCAGCGGATGCCCTTCCAGCCGCAACCCAACAACTGGGTATTTTACTGGCTATTTAAATTCCCCTTAATCCACAACAAATGCTATAAATTTAACAGTGTTCAACAGTATTAATAATTTTGAGCTTCAGTGTTTTTGCATGTGTGTTTGTATAAATAGTGCATGCTTAATTAACAATTTCTACAGGATCCTCTACAATGAGGTATTTGTGCAAATCTATTTTGATTTTACATTAGATTATTCAGTAGTAAAGTAATTCAAAAAACATTAAGTTGTAATGCAATATCATTAATTAATTATCAAATCTAAGAAACCATACAAAACACAACATTTATTTTAATTTGTTGTAGAGCGTAAATATTTTTACATCACCACCTTTGAATTCAAATTCATTACTTTTTTTACTATTTTAGTGTTTAGTGTTATATTATGTTGTGTTTGGGGGCTACACTCTCATGTTAATGAATGCAACTAATTAATAAAATACATTTTGTAAAAATTCAGCAATATATCTTCTCCATTTTGATATAAAATTAATTTAAAAATATCTCTTCAGTTTTCAGAAAGGGTGTGCTTATTTAAGCAACACACTATATACTGTATAAATGTATATAAATTAGTATTAGTGTCGAGCCTAAAATTTTAAGCAAGCAACACTAAATTATTTAGCATTAGTGGTGACTAGGGCTGCTAAATATATCGTTTCAGCATTGATATCGCAATTGTCACATCGCAATGATATGCAATGTCCAGTTTGAGTTGACGAGGAGCTACAGAATTGTATTTTATCACTGTATTTATATGGACTTTATATAATGTATGCAAAAAAAACATTTCTTCAAATTGTGATCTTGTTTCTAGTCTAAATATCTACATTTCATAGCGAAAACAAGATTATTTCACTTACCCCACTGGCAGATAAACTAACTAAATCTCTCAATTTTCACTTATTTCTTTTCTACAGTGAAAACTAAACACTATTTTTACTTGGTCTAATTTTTTTTTTCGATATTTGGACAAGAACCAAGACAAAAAAAGTAAGAAAAGCTAAAACTACGCAGAAAACCCTCAAATAAAGCTATTCAAACAAAGGTGTAGAATTGGCATGGACGGAGGTGATGTGTCCCCACTCCCCACCAATATCTACCAATTACTAAAATGACCCTACCAATAATTTAATTGACTTCACAACAAAATATTGCTCTGTCAACCCTTAGTAACCTACTTGTGCACAAGGGGTTAATGTCAAGTTTGCTATAATACTATTAACTAAGGCTGTGCTATTTATCAAAATTATATTTCGGGATAAAACAGTTAGGTTGCACCACACATGTCTTAAAATTTCTTACATTCATACCTCTATAAAGCCAGGTTGCAGTAAAATCATGTTAAATTGACTTTTAAAGCATGGCACGTGATTCATTCATTGATATTTGTAATATTAAGTGTTTATTTTTATTGTTAAGTAATTTATTCATGTTTTTAAAAGCGCAAAAACAATTTGCGCAATGCATGCACTGTAGGGATAGACAGACAGACAGGTAGACAGGTAGGTAGGTACGTAGGTAGGTAGGTAGGTAGATGATAGATAGATAGATAGATAGATAGATAGATAGATAGATAGATAGATAGATAGATAGATAGATAGACAGACAGACAGACAGACAGACAGACAGACAGACAGACAGACAGACAGACAGACAGACAGACAGAGAGACAGATGATAGATAGATAGATAGATAGATAGATAGATAGATAGATAGACAGACAGACAGACAGACAGACAGACAGACAGACAGACAGACAGACAGACAGACAGACAGACAGACAGACAGAACAAAAGATACACAGAATAAATACAAAAGTGTAGAAATTGGACAGAGGGGATATGTCTCCCTCAATATCTGACAAATACTGAAAAATCCCTATTAATAATTCATCGACTTCAAAGTAAAATATTGCTTCATCAACCCTTAGTAACCTACTTGTGCACAAAGGGTTAAAGTCAAGTTTGGTATGAGTTCACTATGATACTATTAACCACGGCTCTGCAATTAATCAAAATTAAGTTTCGGGATAAAACAGTTAAATTGCACCACACATCTCTCAAAACTTCTCGCCATTCATACCAGATTGCAGTAAAATCATGTAAATTGACTTTTGCATTATGGGACGTGATTTATTAATTGTTATTTGTATTATTAAGTGTTTATTTTAAATTATTGAGTAATTTATTCATGTTTTCAAAAGCACAAAAACAATTTGCGCAATGCATGCGATCTAGGGATGCATGTTCTCACCAATGTCAGGAGCGAATCTACGCCCTTGTATTCAAACCATCTTCTGAAATAGTAATTAAATCGCAATATTTATCACAGAAAAATGCAAAACCAGATTTTTCCAAAATCGTGCAGCCCAAGTGGTGACTATCAGAGTATTTGTGCAGTCAAAATGTGTGTAAATACTGAAAAATGTAGAGCTGAAGAGAAGGCTTTTTTGAAGAAAGGTTTGCTGTGATTTGCCTTTGTGTTTCCAATCTATGGAGGTCCCCAGTTGGATGTCCCCACATGCAATGTTTTGATGCCATTTTATGCTTTTTCTTTCTTCAAAATAACCAGAAACACTGGTCCCCTCTTGGTCGATGTAGATTGACTGTTCCCTCTTAGCAACACAGGTATATACGTGTGTATGTGTGAGTGTGTAAGCCCCTGGAGAGCCACACACACACACACACACACACTTTCTTTCTCCAGTGTAGTCAGACGGTGGCGTGTCTGTGAGATGTCTGTCACAAAGCATTAGACGAGGTGAAGGGATGGAGCCAAGGTCAGCACGGTTTCCACACACTCCCCAAAACACCTCCACGCACTGATTTCTCTGCATTAGCGATCGCAAAGCCCCCTCTGACAGCTCAAATGCACACATACACACACCATGCACCCTGGCCAGAGAGAGCGGACAGGCGGTGTGTAAGGCATGTAGAGCTTTGTTTGCCGCAACCACCACAATAATAAAATGGAAAATGATTGTTGCCCATTGCCCTAAACAAAGAAAAGGGACATTGTCTGTAAATATAAAATCAAGACTGAGTGTGGACCCCCTCTTGTGGTGGTGATTATAAAAACACTGGATAGATAGATAGATAGATAGATAGATAGATAGATAGATAGATAGATAGATAGATAGATAGATAGATAGATAGATAGATAGATAGATAGATAGATAGATAGATAGATAATGGATAGATAGATAGATAGATAGATAGATAGATAGATAGATAGATAGATAGATAGATAGATAGATAGATAGATAGATGGATAGATGGATAGATAGATAGATAGATAGATAGATAGATAGATAGATAGATAGATAGATAGATAGATAGATAGATAGATAGATAGATATAGAGAGAGACAGACAGACAGACAGACAGACAGACAGACAGACAGACAGACAGACAGACAGACAGACAGACAGACAGACAGACAGACAGACAGACAGACAGACAGACAGACAGACAGACAGACAGACAGATAGATAGATAGATAGATAGATAGATAGATAGATAGATAGATAGATAGATAGATAGATAGATAGAGAGAGACAGACAGGTAGATAGATAGATAGATAGATAGATAGATAGATAGATAGATAGATAGATAGATAGATAGATAGAGAGATAGAGATAGATAGATAGATAGATAGATAGATAGATAGATAGATAGATAGATAGATAGATAGATAGATAGATAGATAGATAGATAGATAGATAGATAGATAGATAGATAGATAGATTTTAACAGTTTAACATATTTATATGCATTAAGATAACATAAGATAGCACACAGCTAACATGTTTTGAGATTGCTAGAATGTTGGTAGTATAATTGAACACATTGCTAGCATGATTTAGCACATTGCTAGCTTGATTCAATCTAGCCTAGCGTGATTAACAAACTCACGCTAAAAAAAATTGAGGAAATATTATCTACTCACAAACAGTAAAATTACAGAATTATAGCTACATGGTATTTGAAGATGCTATATTTAATTTGAATGCAAATGGAGACATTGAGGTTCAACAAAGAGGTGTTAGCGATTACCAACAAAACACTGGAAAATATTTTTTTCTAGAGAAGTTGGATGATGAAAATCATGTATGGTTAAACTGAATTAAATTCATGTTATGGGTGGAAATAATTGAATTATAGTTATAATTCATCTACAATTCTTTTAATTTAATGACAAAAAGGTAAGTGGCCTTAACTAAAATGTACTTACACAGGAATTAATAGTTTGTTATAATGTACTTATTGTGTAAATACATGTATTTACTGTGTACTTATGCTTGATTAAATACCTGTATGTAATTAAATCTGTAATTAACTTCTGTAATCACATTTGTAAATACACTGCTGACCATCCCTTACACCTTAACCCACCCTTAAACCTACCCACACCACCAAACCTGTCCATAACCCAACCCCTATCCCAACTGAAGAGCACCACAAGTGTTCTCAAATACATTATGAACACAGTAAGTACATTGTATTAATTTTTTGATGCAAGTACATAGTAGTTAGGGAAACTTAATATAAAGTTGGACCACAAAAAGCTATAATATTTTGTTGATACAATATACAAATCCCAAAAAAATGTAAATATGTGTAGCTACATATGAATTTAAACATCAGAACAAATATTCATTTCAAATGTACAAACATGCAGAGACTCTGCTTTACCTCATGTTCTCCATGGTGTCCTCAGGCATCGGGGCCACAGTCTGAACCGCAGGCAGATTCTTACTGGTAGCTCCATTCACAAAGCTGGCAGAAGAGGAAGAGGACGTGTCTGTGGCTCCTGTGAGACGACCAGAGAGATGTGACAGGTTAAAAACATACTGTTTACTAAATTAATCCTACTGACTTTAACGTACTGTTTATTAAATTAATCCTACTGACTTTCTTTTTTAATGACTTTAAATAAAATCTCATATACTTTCTTACTTTCTTTGGTTTTTATAAATGTGAGTTTTGGTTTTTATTTTTTTATGACATTGAATACACTGATACTGACAAACAACTTTCCAAAAAAAAGTAACAACTCTATTTTTATTTAAATACATTTATAATATTTAGATGTGGCAGCACGGTGGCGCAGTGGGTAGCGCTCTCGCCTCACAGCAAGAAGGTCGCTGGTTTGAGCCTCTCCTAGGTCAGTTGGCATTTCTGTGTGGAGTTTGCATGTTCTCCCTGTTTTCGCGTGGGTTTCCCCCGAGTGCTCAGGTTTCCCCCACAAGTCCAAAGACATGCACTATAGGTCAACTGGGTAAGCTATATTGTCCGTAGTGTATGTGTGTGAATGGGAGTGTATGGGTGTTTCCTAGTGCTGAGTTGCAGCTGGAAGGGCATCCGCTGCGTAAAAACATATGCTGAAAAAGTTGGCGGTTCATTCAGCTGTGGTGACCTTAGATTAATAAAGGGACTAAGACGAAAAATAAAATTAATTAATTAATTATTTAGAAGTTATGGAGAGAAAAAGTGCAGACACTGGATAGATAAACCTCTCTAGTAAACATGTCGATTGTCAAATGTAGTATACTTTTTTAAACTGTATGCTGTGTTTGACTGTGCAAATGCATCTACAATATACAAAAAAAGGAAAAATAGGTATGCTTCTGCCATCATCTTTAAGGAAAAACTAGGATATTTAGGCCTTTTGGCAATTCACTAACAGAATTAAGGAGGGCATAATTTTTTTTTAGTGCAAGTTTTTGAAAACATATCAGTGTTAATTAAATGTTTAATAAATAATTATTTAAAATCAGCATTTTAGAATGATTTCCAAATGATCATGTGACAATTAATGATGTTCCAAAAGTAGCTTTGGCATCATAGGGATACATTTCAATGTTTTATTTTTTATTAATTGTTTTGTTCACTTGTTTTAGAATAAATGTCTATTGATGCTTGTTGTTAGGCAACCTTGGCTTTTCAGAAAGGCGCCATTTATAAATAAAATTAATTATTATTATTATTATTATTATTATTATTTATTATAATAAAAAGTAGTTTTTTCTAATTGTAGTAATATTTAAAAATATTACCACTTTTATTGTGATTTTGGTCTAATGAATGCAGATTTGGCATTCATAAGTTTGGATGTTCATTAGTGGAGTTTGCTTGTTCTCCTTGCGTTCGCATGGGTTTGTCTCCGCGTGCTCTGGTTTTCCCCACAAGTCAAAAAACATACGCTATAGATGAATTGGGTAAGCTCAAATTGTCTGTAGTGTACGTGTCTAAATGAGTAAGGATGTTTCCCAGTGATGGGTTGCAGCTGGAAGGGCATACGCTGCGTAAAACGTGCTGGATAAGTTGGCAGTTCATTCCAATAGAGGGACTAAGCCGAAAAGAAAATGAATAAATGAATGAATGAATAATGATAATAATAATAATAATAATAATAATAATAATATATAATGTATACATTAATACAACTCCCCTAGTTTTTGAATCCATTTTTGAATTGATTCAATCAATCTTTGGGTCTGGCGGGAACACTTTTAGCTTAGCTTAGCTTAGCGTAGATCACTGAATCGGATAAGACCATTAGCATTTGAAGAATGACTAAAAGTTTAGATAATTTTCCTATTTAAAGCTTGACTCTTCTGTAGTTACAGTAATCACCAACCATCAACCATATTTTCCTTTAAAAACATAAAATCACTTACAAAAGGCTAACAAATATTCTAATCTCATATATAAATCATATAAATAAATAAATAAATAAATAAATAAACAAATAACGAGGCTATTTATTTAGAAACTACATTTATTATTTATTAGGAAATGAAAAAAATCCTACTTTAATAATGATAATAATAATAATAATTATTATTATTATTATTACTATTTTTTATTGTTATTATTATTATTATTATTATTATTATTATTAAGTAGGATATTGTTTATTTATTTATTTGTTTTTTGTTTAATTAAAAGTCTACTTTTACAATTTGACACATTCAAGCCGCTGCAGAAATGTTCCAACAGGACCAACAGGCCCAGGTCATATACTTTACAGATACTTAATAAATAACCTACTATATATTAAAACCATTAATGTATGAAAATGTAGAAATATACTGGCATAATAATTATAAAGGAACGTTACAACCACTATGGCTCCAGCAGGCACAATTTTAGCAGGTAATGACATACATAACCACAGGAACCCTTGCTTTGAGAAACAGATCTTTCCATTACTCTGGCTTCCCCCTGAGAAAGTGAAGCTCCATCTTCCATTGCTCTTCGCTCTCTCCCTCTGTCAAAAGCACAGTGTCCACACAGCGGACTGTGCAGCGGGAGCTTCTGATAGATACATCACAGCAATGGACTGTCATCCTGTGAAACCACAAGCTGTCACGGCACATCTGAGGATAGGAAATCTATTACGCAGCCATCAATCGCTGTGTCAGAGATGAGTGTCCACCCATAAGCAAATACACCAAGATGAGGGGAAACGTCAAGAGGGACATTCTGATGGATTTGGCTGGAAGCGCAGCTTGGCCTGATTCAACCTCAATCCAAATCAACGTCCCTCGTGCATTCTAATCAGATCTCAATGAGGTAGATTATGGACAATGGGGACTAAAAGCCTGTCTTAAGGATAAAGGGATATATACAGTATTTGTGTTCTTAAAATATACCGTACATTGCAATTAAAAAAATTGGCATAAAATTTTATTTTACATTTTTTATCTCATAGAAAAAAACAACAACTAAATGTGATTTTAAGAATCCTGAAAAAAAAGTAAAATAATATATAATAAAAAAATCATTGAATAATTGAAATTATTAAACTTTTTAGTAGCAAATGAGCATTTAAGATATTTTTGAAGGAAAAATTAAGCAGAATTTTTTTTATTTAATATTACATAATAAAAAATATTCTGTGATATATTTTTAAAAAATATTCATGTAATATTTTACATTATTTACTGTATTATGTAATATTTAACATTAATCTACTGTATTATGTAATATTTTACATGATTTGTTTTCACTGTAATTTTTATCAAATGAATGCAGATTTGGTGATTAAATGTGACATGCCTGATGACAATGTAATACATTTTATTTTAAAACGTAATAAGTAGTACATTTTATTTGTTTGTTTGTGTGTGTTTGTGTGTGTATTAGGCATGGGACGATAACTGTTTTCAAAGTATACCGCAGATTGGAAGAGTCAAGGTTTTAAACCCTCCAAAATTTTCTGCAATACAACTCCTAGGGCTGGGCCCATAAACGATATTATATCGAATCACAATAAAATTTATGTCAATAACAATAATGAGCTCTGCACTTTTTGACTCTATAATTATATAAGAGCCAATCACACAGCAGAAATGTGCAACAATGGGAAATCAAAAAGTGTGTCGATATTAGAAAATGTATCGGCTGAAAATATGTTATGCCAATTAATGGACCCTCTAATTTTTGTGGCTTCAGTCATTGTTAGGTTACTCTTTAAATCTGAAAGCATTAACAACTTATATCGAAATATATATATCATTATTGTTCAATACGAAAAATATTATTGAGATTGCATTTTTGCCATATCGCCTAGCCCTACTACAGTATATGTACGATTTTTTTTATTTACGTTTTTTTTAAGACAACAGTATCTTCAGCAGGAAAGATATCCAAAAATGCCGTTTTAAATTGTAATGAAATCTGTGTTTTAAAACCAAACGAAGACAGCAGAAGTTAACGATTTATTTTCATTATTTAGCCTGGAATGTTTACTGTTCCTAAATATTTTAAATGCTTCTCAATAAAAAATATTGTGTTCAAAGGGGTAATAGGTTTTGTTTTTGAAACAGAGAAAAAAAAAAATTAAACGCTTCTAAAATAAAATATATTGTGTTTAAAGGGGAAATAGTGTTTGTTTTTCAACCAGAAAAACTTTTAAATGCTTCTTAAAATAAAATATATTATGTTCAAAGGGGTAATAGTTTTTCTTTTTGACCCAGACAAAAATTGTAAATGTTTCTCAAAATAAATTTTTTTGTGTTTAAAGGGGAAATAGTTTTTGTCTTTGACCCAATCAAATATTTTTAGAGCAGTGATCACAATAGCATGAAATAGTGAAACAGTGATATTTTTATCTAGGATTATCATACCGTCATAATCTTTTACCAGCCTATGCCTAGTGTGTGTACATGTTTTTGTGACATATCAGGAAACATCATGACATAGGTATGACACATGTATTACAAGAAGATGGTGAAATATGAGGACATTGCCGTTTAGAGGTAGAGGAATAGAAAATACAGTTTAAAAACAATGGAAACATATGTAATGTCCCCACAATTCACAAAAACAAACATACAGTATATGTGAATTTTGACATTTGTCATTTTGACATTTTTGTAAAAAAATTACTATACTTAATTAATACTGGCAGTTCATTCAGCTTTGGTGACACCAGATCAATAAAGGGACTTTACACTAAAATATTATTTACAAACATTGTTTTGTGGTTTTGTTATTGCATGCAATAAGCACTGCAATGCAAAGCCACAACAAAGTAAATAACGTAGTGATTAGTGTTAGAAAATCACATCAAACTGATTTACTTTCACCTTAGGGGTCCCTTCGGCTGTTTTGAACCCTAAATACCCGAACTTTTATATTGTCAATCATTTTAAAATTGGTATAACATGTATTTTCAACGAATCCCACATAATGAAACATTTGGCTTTAGACTTAAATGTCCTGCCTGGAGCAAAAAAACATTCACGCATTCACACACAATAGGTGTATATAGCATCTCTAGTATCAACAGCAAAATCTATAGTGTTCATAGTGTGCAGCCTAAGGGGAACACTTGAAACGCAAGCTCCACATAGTTTCCATGTGGCCGCCTAATAACCTTGAAATTTCATACAGATCATATCTTCATGTGAATGCAGTCATTATGGATCCATGACATTCTCTGTTGTGGTGCAATAGTGTGTCTGAGAAAGAAAGGTATAGCAAGGAGGGCCCTCTAGTGGACGCAGTTTCTCGATGAAACCAAATCTAATTTCCTGAGCCCGAAATGGGTTTTTAGGAATGACATCTTTAATTATTCTAAGAACAGCCGAGCACACATTTCTGTGGAAATTCAGTTAAGGACTTGCAAATTAATGTCTCATTAGCAGCACAGAGAGCAGTTATATCTACTTTTAGGGAGAAACTCTCTGTTCTTAAAGGGATAGTTCACCAAAATAATGAAAACATGCTGTTAGTTTATTCGCCCTCATATCATCCAAGATGTAGATGACTGTTTTTTTGTTTTGTTTTTCTAGATAAGTGTACATTTTATCATAAGCAAAAACTGTGGCCATTGATGATTTGTGAGATGCAAGTCAACTACCATTACTTAGAGAGTATCTAAACAAACCAGTTTTGTTATATAGATATTGAAATTATACAATTTGTATCATATATGCATATATTTTGTAATTAAATATCAATAAACATTTTCTCAAATACGTCCATGCCTGTGTGTATTCATATATACATAATAATATACACAGTACACACACTTATATTATGTCATTTATTCATTTTTCTTCGGCTTAGTCCCTTTATTCATAAAGGGGTCGCCACAGTGGAATGAACCACCAACTTATCCAGCATATGTTTTACAGGGCATCCGCTGTGTAAAACATATGCTGGATAAGTTGCCAGTTCATTCCACTGTGGCGACCCCTAATGAATAAAGGGACTAAGCTGAAAAGAAAATGAAGGAATGAATGTACAGCATGTATTTGGACTGTGGGGGAAACCAGAGCACCCGGAGGAAACCCACGTGAACATGGGGAGAACATGCAAACTCCATACAGAAATGCCAACTGGCCCAGAAGGGACTTGAACCAGCAACCTTCTTGAGATAAGTGTTAACCACTGAGCCACCATGTTGCCCTATATTATGTCAAAACCAACTATTTAGGATGCAATTAATCAAAATTAATAAATTTTTAATATTCATGGCTCCTGAAAATACATTCAAGTAATATATCGACAAACCAATGGTCTGTGCTAGAAACTAAACACTATTTAGAGTATTACCAAGGTTTAAAATAAACACAAATTTTAGTAAAATCAACTGAAGTTGAAAGACGACTACACTGAAAAAAATGATTCAAAGATGATTCCCTAGATTAACTTTTTAAGTTAAGTGGTTGTAAACAATTTACTTAGGCTGAATTTAAACAAACAAATTAAGTTAGTACACATTACACATTCAACCCATGTGGCAAAAGAAGCCACAAGTAGGCGCGGCCAACCGTCGCCATTTTGTTCGCTTGCATCGCACTCAATGTGGGATACCAAACAAGGGCAAAGAGGCGGAGACTGAGCGGAGCTACAGACACCTGCTGGCATTTTGCTTGGACCTGGCTTAGACACACTTTACTTTGGGAGAATACTTTATACTTTATTACCTGCGATTCATTTGTGTTCTGACCACATGAGCTTGGTTGTACACTATATCAATAAAGTGTTTAGACTTTTAAAAATACTGTAGTAATACATTGAGCCACTAAGTCTTGTTCTTATGACGTTTTTCAACAGGAGGAAAACGCAAATTACTTCCAAACCCTTCAGATATAGTCTGTGTTATTAAATACAAGACTATTGATGAAATCCAGTCTAACATTGTATGACAACGCTTCAGATGACTATTCTAGAGCCTACAGCTAATCAATCCGTCAGATTCTGGAGTGCATTACAGCTCTAAATATAAATATAAACGATAAATAATCTTAAATAAAACAAATACATATATAGAGACAGTATATAAGTATATAACTTTACTCACATGGGAAACGGAGGCCACGTAAATGGTTTGTGAGCACAATTAAGTGCACACAGCATGCCATGCCATAAGATAATTGTATAGGAAACAAGTCCAAAAGGCAGTTGACTATGTAAAGCCACATAAAACAACACAGAAATAGATAAATCTGCCGAGATCAGTGGCTAATCTGCAGGATTCAGCTGAGGTGTAGTGACGGCGATCAACGAGACCAAGCTGTCATTCAAGAGGCCACTCCCTTAATTATGCAAACTTAATATTACTTAGTATAAAGGAAACGGATGAGTTCTAAAAAAAAATTCACCCCCCTCACAGTTGTCATGAAGGGTTCTATTAGCTGTATTAACCAAAATCTTTTTTTGTACCAGGCTGTAAACACCTTTTTTTCTGCTGTAAAGTTGGCCATTCTAACAGTGGGCTCAATTGAAATTTGCTCTATTATGGAGCCAGGAGCGGCCACGACTAGCGGAATTTCGGATGAATTGCAGTTTTTGTTACTTCCGTATTGGCTTCCCGAGGGAGAGCGGGAGGTTGCCGCTTGGTGGTCGGCCATCTTGGATCCAACTTTTGTTTTTTCAATAGGAAGAGAGTCATTTGACACATACATAACACAGACAACATAACTCTTTCATGAGTTACTTATAAGTTTCTGAACACTAATAAAATGCAACCTGCAATGCACGTAGCTGTGCATTGAAGGATTCGGATTTCTGTTTTCAGTCCATCTCATTATGGACCAACGTTTATCCTTTTCATCATCCTGTTTCTCAGTATTTAACTGTGAATTGATTTTAATTAATGAATAAGTTAACACATTGCTTAATATAAGAATGTTCAGTGCATTTGTCTCTTTATACCTATTTTCAGGAGCCAGCAAACTAGGTCAGAGGTCATGGAGACCTTGAATGGACTTGAGGGCTGAGGACTGGAAACAACTGTTTCTATTGTTATTTCTATGAGTTAATACTGTCTAAAATGTCTAAAGTGATTTTGCTATTTTTACGGTTAAATCTTTTAAAGTGATTCTACTTTTTATTCAAGATAGACTTTGTGTAGTAAGAATATAACTGCCTGAATGTAGATTATACCAGTTTTTAACCAGTTTCGATAAAGATGGCTGACAGTACAGTCAGCCTTGGATAAGAAACAGATTATACTTTGTGTGTGTGTGTTCTATTTGATTGTTGATCCATTTCACAGGTCTGGAGTCAGCTCTAATCAGTCTAAAGGATGTCTGACGTTTATGTTTAGATATTGTTCAGAATTGTACGCACGAACCCCACATAGAAATGTTCCTAGTCTATCTGTGTTTTAACCAATCAGGTTAGAACACTTATATGTATGACGCAGTTAATGACGTTATGTGAGAGTATAATTGTTATTGATTGATGATTGTAAGCAGAGCGGCCTAGGAACTCATTGCGAGTGTTGAAGCTGGCTTCTATGAATGAAACTGCAAACTATCTTCAGTAAACTTGATTTATTTATTTAAATCTCTGACTCCGGCTCTTCTTCATCTATCAGACTGGTCATTCTTTGGGTTAAACTGTAAACTATCCCTACAGCATTTATACTTCTACGCACTGTTTCTGTTGTTCTGCAATAACACTTCCGAAACGCTAGTGGGCAGTGAGTTGTTAAGTTCCTCTGTGTCGAGTTTCTTCGTTGGTGTTTTGTTTTTTTCTGAATGTTTCCTTAATGTACAAGTAGCTCAACCTCGCTCATTTTGAGGCAGGAACCAGCGAACGTGCAACAACTTCACGAGACTCCACACTTGTAAACACTCGCTCCATTGGGCTCGCGCGGCTCTCGGTCCCGCCTATACTCGTCAGAGCTACCAGGCTGACCAATCACAGAGCTTGCGCTACACGTCGTTGTGACATGTTGTTACATTTTTTGCGAGGTGCGCATCAGCGAAGCCGACTCCTACGGAGTAGTGCTTTGCGTCAATGCGTAGGCTGCACCGTAGCATACATGTGCGCTTGATGTAGAAGTATAAATCAGCCTTAAGGAGGTCAGATCGGAAGACCTTGGGGGCCATTCAACTGGCCCACGATGACCAATCCACTTTTCAGGAAACGGTTCATCTAGGAATGCTTAGACCTGACAACCATAATGTGGTGGTAGTGCACCAAAAACGTGCCAGCTTCAGTGCATAAAGAGGGAAACAAATCATCATGTAGCAATTTCAAATATCTAGTGGCTTTGAGGTTTCTATGGTATGAAGATACAAGATGTGCAGCACCTGAAACTACAGATAGTGGAAACCTGTGCTGGCATTTCTCCTACGGTGTTGATATTAGAGTTGGAGAAGAGGGTTGCATTGACAATCCAACACAATGGGCAGCACATTCAACACATTTTATAAGTGGTCAGAAACTTGTAAATAACTCATGAAAGAATAAAGTTACATTAAAACCAAGCACACCATTGTTTTTCTTGTGGAATTCCCAATAAGTCTGATGTGTCAAATAACCCTCTTCCTTTTGAAAAAACAAAAGTTGGATCCAAGATGGCCGACTTCAAAATGGCCACCATGGTCACCACCCATCTTGAAGTTTGCCCCCTCACATATACTAATGTGCCACAAACAGGTTGTTAATATCACCAACCATTCCCATTTTATTAAGGTGTATCCATATAAATGGCCCACTCTGTTTATGGCTAGGAGTATAGAATTTCCATTTACCTTTAATCTACAGCCTCAGCAAACAGTCCTGATTGCATTTCAGAGTCATGACAGTCTGGAGTCCTACACTGTCAAGAGCTGTAAGTTTAGCCTGTATGTTTTTAGACAGTCAAAGCAACAGTAGCTATTGATTTGAATTTCATAAATCACCAAGGGTGGCATGGTGGCGCCGTGGATAGTGCTGTCGCCTCACAGCAAGAAGGTCGCTGGTTCGAGCCTTGGCTGGGTCAGTTGGCATTTCTGTGTGGAGTTTGCATGTTCTCCCCATGTCCGCATAGGTTTTCTCCAGATGCTCTGGTTTCCCCAAAGACATGTGCTATAGGTGAATTGGGTAGGCTAAATTTTCTGTAGTGTATGTGTGTGGATGAGTGTGTATGGATGTTTCCCAGTGATGGGTTGCAGCTGGAAGGGCATCCGCTGCATAAAACATATGCTGGATAAGTCGGCGGTTCATTTCGCTGTGGCGACCCCTGATTTATAAAGTGACTAAGCCAATGATTGAATGAATCAACAAAAATCAGTCTCAGCTACAATCTTCTTTAATATTCCATAGAAGATTTCCGTTGAAGGTCACCTACATCTTGGATGCCATCTCTTTGGTAAACAAATGTTTAGAGAAGACAAATCAGGGCGGGGCTTACCTGTAGTGTTGATCATGCTTTTGGGTGTAATGGACGCAGCGGCGAAGATGTTAGGTGTGCTTCCAGAGGTCAAAGCGCTGCTGGATCCCGACGTGCCCACTGTGTTCACTGTCAGACCTGAAGGAGGCTTCTTGGCCTGCACCACCACACTCCTGCATGAGAGAGGAAACACAATACCTTACTAAGGTCACTTCAGATTTACTTCAGCTGGAAAATTGCACTCGTAACCTCGTCATAACAAGACCCTGGGATCAGAAGTGTAAACATACCCAATCACTTCACATTTTACCAAAAGCACTTCCTGAGAGAAATATACTGTGAATCACAAAAGCTTCCAGATTCCACAAGAAACAAAGCTAAATAAAAGAGTTCACCTGCAACAATAAATAAACATGATTGCTTGTGAAATCAGTTGATTACATGGAGGGAGATTGACGGTGGTTTTGCACAGTCCAGTCAGGCTGGATGAAAGTGGCAAAGAAAAAGACCAGCAGGCAAAGTAAACATCCTGCTCTCCTGCCACCCCGTGCTTGACTCTCCAACATGCGGAATGAGGTTCAGGACAAACAAACAGTAAAATCAAAAGCAGTGACTGCAGGCTTTTGGGGCATGTTTCTGTTTTCTGGTGTTTGTCCATTGCTGTGACTCGAAGTGATGTCAAACTCAAGAGCGAAATTCATGAGGAGACATTTTCCAGGTGCGTAAGCTAAATTTGGTGTTACTGTAACAGGGTAGATTTGAAGTTTTCACCTTAGAAAACCTTTGGGTGATAGCAAAATTTACATTCAATAAACATTTGGACTTTTTTTATACCACAGCATCACAAATAAATTGAGTGAATTTAGAAACCAATTTAGTATACTGGTGGATAAAAAACTAATTATTATGAATTGAATTTATGAATATAAATAAAATAATATAATAATGTAATATTTTTATTTACTTTATTTGCATTAACATTCATATTTAATGTTATATTAGTTAAATTTTTCACACTTAAAAAAAAATCAGGAAACAAACAACCCAAAAAATAAACAAAAAAATAAACTACTTAAAACAAATAAATAAATCAGACTATATACAGGAAACAGAGAGTGAAATTCAAATCCTTTCAAGACCTATTTCAAGCTTCTTTCCATACATTTTAAGACTTTTCAACCAGAAACACTGGTGAAATTACAGTATTTTTATTAAATATTAATGTAAGAAATTAATCTAAAACTAAAACATTATTCATAATATACTGAATAAAAATATATTAAATAAAAAAATAAACAAGCAAACAATTTTAAATAAATAAATAAATATTTTTGTTATTTAATAATATGCATTAGTATTCATATTTAATTTTTTATTAATTCGATTATTTTCACACTTTAAAAAAATCAGGAAACAAACTACCATAAAACAACCAAAAAAAAAATACAAAACAAATAAACAATTTAAAATAAATAATTATTTTTGTTATTGAATTTATTTGCATTAAAATCTATATAAAATTTTTATTAGTTTTTCACACTTAAAAAACAGGAAACAACCAAAATACAACCCAAAAATAATCAAACAAACAATTTAAATAAATAAATAAATAAATAAATAAATATTTTGTTATATAATTTATTTGCATTAAAATTAATATTTAATTTTATATTAGTTAGATTAGTTTCACACTTAAAAAAACATATATAAAGTAAAACTATATATATAAAATAAAATAAACAAATAAATAAATATGCCAGCACAAAAATCTGACATTAAATATTCTTATTTTTTATTTTAAATTGTTATAAGTTTGGATTAGGCTTGCAACACTTCATCAAACTTCATCCTATTAAATTAACTAATAGGAACTGTGGGTATAAATTAAAATTTTACAAATCAATAAAGAAAAAATAAATATCATTAGGCAACAAAATATAGTTTAAAATGTATAAACAACTAGAGGATACAGTATGTAAAATCATGAGTGCTCTTCTTGTTACAAAAAAAAAAAAAACAGGCCCAAATCACAATTCCATCATCCTCCTCTGACCGTCCCAACTCTGACCAGCTGCAATCTATGAAAAGCTAATTAGAGAAATGCTCTCTAAATATAGCTGCTAACCACATTAACTCATTAAAAAGGCTCTAAATATACTAATCGACTCAATTATGCCAATAAGAATTTTTATTCCTCTTGCTTATTTTAGCAAAATCACATGGTGTCCAGAGGCAACATTCTAACAAGCTGAAAATAGAGCCCGGAGACGAGCGAGCAAGATCACGAGTTCACATCAAACTCTTAACCTCGCCGATAATCTCCTGTATATCTTCACAGATTCACAGAAACCCACCTTAGCCTAATAGCGAAGAGCGGGAAAGGATTAGTTTGATATTATACACACGACAGAGTCAAGTGCTTTGTGGGATGGAATGATGTTTTGTTGGTGTGCACATTGGTCTGGTTTTCTTATCGATGTTGAAGATGCTGGTCGGTAGAAAGATTCTGCATGTTTTTTAGGGTGATAGAGTGCAGGACTGGTGTTAATGTCACTTGTTAAGTCTCCTGACGCTTCACATTGTGACCTAGGACAGACACTGTACAGAGAGAAAA